AAAAGACCCAGACATCTTGATCTGTATGGGACACAGCTACTCGCTGTACTGAATGTCACAGGGCCAGACTCGGGGCCCACACTTCTCACTGCCTTACAGAGTTGCAGCACTGATATAGCTCACTGATGTGAGCTGGCATCATAAGTGGACAGACAGCAGCCCCTCAGTCCTTCCTTCACCCTGGTTCATATAACGCAGCCAGTCTGCCGTCTTGTCAAGCTCACAGATATGTTGAGAAAATCTCATCGAAAAACCTACGATAATAAGACTCCTGAGGCAGCCATTTAATTCACTGCGAGTCTGAAAATTTACCTAAGAATCGGACACTGTGCTGCTACACACCATGTCTCCACCCTCTTATAAATGAGTGGATTTGCTTTAGTATTGTGGTTGGGTTGTGCCTCTATCCTAGTTTTTAGAAACCTGAATATGGTAGCTAGAGTATCCCAATAAAAAAAACAGGATCATAAGACATGTAAAAACACCTGATCCCGGTTTATGAGCATTCTCTGTAATGTGTGCAAGTGCGTCGTCTGCTGAAGTTACGTGGTAGATAGTCAGTCAGTCAGTAAAACAAGAAATACAATGTTATTGATCTTGTTATCCATTACTGGCGATAAGATTGACACGTTAAATCCAGAGCACACATGTTGAGGAATCATGCAGATGATCAGAAACCTGGATACTGTTATGATCATGTACACAGGGATATGAATGACCAGGTTTCTCATATTCCATGTATACATCTGTTTGGAAAAGGTTCAAAACCAAGGTGAGAGAACTGCAAAACTAATGTGCATGTAAACATACTTGGTGACTTTTGCTTGTATATCTCTGTGAGCTTGAGGAGACAGAGGTCAGAGGTCTGGCCTCATAATATGCTAGTCTACCGTCTTATCACCCCATCTGACCTCACACACTGCCCTTGTGGACTTTATCATTCACTTCATTCATTTAAACAGGTGACAAATGCACATTACCTATTCTACAGGACCACTGAGAGGTCCAGAAAAAACACCCTAAAAAAAACATGATGATGATGATAATAATTGAAGTATCCCTTGTGTACTTGTCTATATTGTGCTGTAATATAAGCTAATTTCTTCCTTCACTTTCATCTTCTTCCTCCCGTTTGTCCTGTCTACCCATCAAACCTTGACTCACAAAGATGCTGTTAGGTCACACGAGTGTAAAAGACACTTGTGTGTTTGGATTTTCTTTCTTTGGTTTTATACAGTTTGAGACATGACATGTTTGGGGGCAAATTTACACAATGTTCCAGACATATGTAGCAACTTTGTGGCTGTCTGACCCGCCACTATTATTTCTTTTTAAATCTTTTAAGAGGTATGAGATTTGTTTGTCTGTACGTCATGACGATAACTGTTTGGCTGTGGTTTGTTGTTTTATTTCATTGCATTGTGATTCCTAGTGACTAGGCCATTAGTACACCACACTGGGGAGGCCTCCTCAACCATACACACTACCTCTCCGTCTGCCTACACGGACTCAAACACGGAAATGCATGAACACAAGCACTGGCTGTGGCAGAGCAGATGGATGGACTGCAGAGAAAAAAATCTGGACAAAAATTCTCTACATCTCACTAATGTTTATATCTTAAACTTAAAAGAGACAGAATAATTTGTGGCTGTGCTTTTAGTTTTAGAAGTTTCCTATAGATAGTGTGTTATGTTGGGTTGCAGCTTAATTGTTTCTGCATTACACCATGTTTTATTACACCATGCTTTTGAAGCAGCAGCAATATAGTATTGTTCCATTAACCTACCCTTGAGACACTCAGCACATGCCTAATAATCAGGTGCCAAAATTCTGCGCTGCTTGCCACCTATTTTCTGCATTTGACTGCTCAAAGCAGGTGCTTGTGTAGTATTCTCAATGATTAGTATGGCCACAATTGCCATTGGAAGGAGTGTTGTTCAGATGGCCTCTTTTAAGTGAAAGTATGTTATTGTTGTTATATTGATAATCACTTGACCTGGATTTATTTTGTAACATGTGGAAATGGTTCAAAACTGGATTTTTTTATATATATACGTATACGAATATAATGCTGTAAAGTGCAGTCATGAGTTAAGAGATTTCTCTTCCACATCAATTCAGTAAAAAAAAAAAAAGAATAAAACCACAGTGAAATGAGTTGTCTGTCTCAAGTAGCCTGTCACTAAAAGTTCTGTAGGTGAAAAAAGATGGGGGGGACAGGAGGGAATGGGGTTACCCAGTTCTGGTTGAGGGTAATGAGACAGCAGTAACAAATAGGGAGAAGGCAGAGCTAATGGCAAAAACCTTTGTTACGGTACATATCTCAAATAATATGCAGGAAGAAGGTAGAAGAGGTAGAGAGAAAACAAAATCTGAAAATCCTTTAGGCTAAGGCTTTAGGTAGGAAAAGTAGTGTGGGGGATGGACTGAATGTCCCCTTTACAATAGGAGCGTTAAAAAGGGCACTAGACAAAGCGGGCAAAGTATGTTATTGTATGATAAAGCATCTAAGTGAAGAAAATCTGGAAAAATTATTGATGTTGTATCACAGAGTGTGGGTAGATGGAATAATATCAGGGAGTTGGAAGGAGGCTATAATAATTCCAAGAAGGAAACCTGGAAAAGATGCCAGCAGACCTGGAAGCTATAGACCAATTGCCTTGACGTCTCATATCTGTAAGTTAATGGAACGTATGGTGAATGAGAGGTTAACATACTTCTTGGAGGAAAGAGAAATGGTGGCATCATACCATAGCGGTTTCAGGAAGGGAAGGAGTACCATAGATCCAGTGCTGGGACTAGAAGATGAAATAAGGAAAGCCCAAGTAAATAAAGAGACAATGGTTGCAGTATTTTTCGACGTGGAAAAAGCATATGATATGTTATGGAAGGAAGGATTGCTAATTAAACTAAACCTAATGGGTGTTGGAGGGAGAATGTTCAATTGGATTATGGACTTTTTAAATGAAAGAACTATTCAGGTGAAGATAGGAGCAGAACTATCTAGCCAATATATAGTAGAAAACGGGACACCTCAGGGGAGTGTAATAAGTCCAACTTTATTATGATAAATTATGTATTTGTAAACATTCCAACTGATATGGGGAGATCATTGTTTGCAGATGATGGAGCATTGTGGAAAAGAGGGAGAAATGTGGAATATGTAGCTAAGAAAATGCAAGATGGAATTAATCAAGTCGAAAAGTGGGGAACAAAATGGGGATTTAAGTTTTCAGTGGAAAAAACAAAAGTTATGTTCTTCACAAGAAAGAAAGTCAGGGAATGGTATTTGAAATTATATGGAAATAATTTAGAGAGAGTCGAAAGTTTTCGTTTTTTGGGGGAGTATATTTTGATGTGAGATTAACATGGAGGGAGCATATTACATATGTAGTTGAAAAGTGTAAAAAAAAGTTATAAATGTCACGAGGTGTCTTGCAGGATTGGGGTGGGGAGCGGATGTAGCATCGCTGAAATACATATATATAGCCTTAATAAGATCAAGGTTAGACTATGGAAGTATTGTATATGGTTCGGCAGCGAAATCTGTGTTAGCAGACCTGGATGTTATACAAGCTCAGGCTTTAAGAGTGTGCGTAGGAGCGGTTAGAACCTCCCCAATATGTGCTCTCCAAGTAGAAGCAGGTGAAATGCCATTGTGGTTGAGGAGGAAGCAGCTGGGGGCTAATTATTGGGTCAATTTAAGAGGGCATGGAGATGGCCATCCAGCAAAAAGGGTGCTGCAGACGTGCTGGGAGAAGCAGACAACACAAAAAACAAGTTTTGGGTGGACAGGAGAGCAAATGGCAAGGGATACAGGGGTATATGATAAAGAGTTTGACGCAAATGTGGTGTGGCCTATCAGACCTGTCTGGGAATTAGAAGTACCATGTGTAGATTTGGAACTACTTGACATTAAACGCAATAATAAGAATGCCGATTTAACTAGTGTATATTATAGCTATAGGGAATGTAAGTACAAAGAAAGTATTCAAATTTTCACAGATGGGTCAAAGGACATGCAAACAGATACAACAGGGTCTGCAGTTGTTGTTCCTAAGTATCAGTTAGAACTTAGCAAAAGAACATCTGATTGTCTGAGTGTGTTTGCAGTTGAACTGTTTGCCATATTGATGGCGTTAGAATGGACAGAACAAATTAGTGATAAGGAAATATTAATATGTAGTGACTCTGTGTCAGCTCTTATAAGCATGAAGACATGCACAACTAGAAGTCACCTGGACTTGCTTTATGAAGTCTTATTTATGAATTCAAGAATAGCTAGGCAGGGGAAAAATATTTCTGTGGGTCCCTGCACACTCAGGAATTCAGGGAAATGAGAAAGCAGATAAGGTGGCAAAAGAAGCAGTTAAAAAAGGAGATGTTGAAGTCAACATTAAATTATCAAAATCAGAGGGGAAAGGCATAGTGTGGAGAAGTGTAAATCAACAATGGCAACAGAGCTGGGATAATGCAATAAAAGTGAGACATTTACACGGAATCCAAAGCAAAGTAGGTATATCAAGAAGCAGGGGAGCAAAGAGGAAAGAGCAGGTGATAATAAGTAGGCTGAGAATTGGGTATAGCAATCTTAACAGCACACTTTTAATTAAAGGAAAACATCCTACAGGAATGTGTGAACAATGTCAGGAGGCTGAAACAGCAGAACATATTCTTATAACATGCAGGAAATTTACTCAGGAAAGACAAGAAATGATAACACAGTTAAAAAAAAAAATAGGACGGATAGATAATACAGTAAAAAGTTTATTGGAGTATGGAGAAAGTGTGGAGGGTAGGAAATGGATATTTGGTTTTCTGAGGGCGACTGGATTAGATAGGCGGATTTAGTATTAATGGAAGCAAAGGGTAAATAAAAACTGAAGGTGGCAGTAATGCAACTCAATGGATGCCAGCTGCCGTAAAAACCCGAAGAAGAAGAAGAAGAAGAAGAAGAAGAAGTTCTGTAGGTGGCGGTAATGCAACAACGCGGGGGTGAAAGAAACACCGTTTGAACCAAAGAAGAAGAGGACTGTGCGTTGTGTATTTCCGGTGAGCGAAAATGGCTCAAGGTTCGCAGAAGTTTAAAGCTCAGCGGCCAGGAGCCTCCAAGAAACACCAAACAAACAAACAGAAAGGACCGAAGAAAGGAGGTATGAACTAAACATCTTACCTTTTATCCAATGAGTAGGTAGAAACGGTGTGGAAGATGTACTTAGTGAAACAGCATCAACCTGCACGGAGACAGCTGAACACGTTGTTAGCTGATTTACGTTCAGCAGAAATTAGGACGTGGCTTCATAACATAACATTGCAACGTTATTTAGTATTAATCTCCAGCAACATAGCTATTAAAGTTTCTGAGGAAACTACTGAACATATGTTTCGTACCTGTGTTGCAGTGTCTCCTTTTAGTGTGTATCACTTAATGGCGTTTTTAATGACAAAGGAAACTTTAATATTAATGACTCACTGTAAGTTGACGAAGAGAAAATGAAACATCATTTTTGTATCACACAGTATTCAGTATATCAGGTTAGCGTTACACACAAAGTCTACAGTCCTGCGATAAATCCTACTTTCATGAAGGTTATGGTGTTAGTATTATAATATTGTGTTATACTGAGAAGCGTTTCTATTATTCTGTCCACTGTGTTTGTTTCAGTGAAGGTAGACTAAATATTACACACCCCTCAGCATAACGCCATACAATTAAACAACATTACACCCTTCAAAATGACCTCAAATGATTTATGGCAGGGCAGTTTAGACTGAAATACTTTTAGATATACCCAGTGAACTGACCCCAGGAGGTATTTTGTATGTGATCAAATATTGACCTTATTTGTTAAACAATCAGCGGGTTGGTTGGTTTGCATTGTCCACCCGTAGACTTAATAATTGGCACATTCTTGTTTACAAGGCTATTCTTGGTCTGCTTCCCCCATACCTACAAACCTACATCAAAAAGTAAGCCACAGGAAGATATTTTCTTCGTTCTGAGGGCTTATTTCTATTATCTGTCCCTCAAGTCAGGACTGAATTGGGAAAAGGGGGGTTTAAGTATGCGGCTCCCTGCGCTTGGAATCAGCTCCAAAATGTCCTGAATCTTCAGGAGCCGGTTTCACTGGTTGCTTTTAAAGTACTTTTAAATGACATGGAGGCTGTACACACTGGCTGTAGATGTTATGAATGATTACTCAGACGATCCTTGTAGTTTATCACTTGTGGTAAATGTATATGTATATTTTGATATTTTATGACCTTGTAACTCACTAATTATTCCCATCATAAATTGTTATGTTTTACGTTTATGTTTTAATGTCTGCAACCTTGTTAATTGTGCTGCTGCCTGTCTTGGCCAGGATGCTCTTGGAAAAGAGATTTTCCATCTCCATGAGTTTTCTTTCTGGTTAAATAAAGGTAAAATAAATAATAAAACACAGTTTTGTATTATCAACATAGTTGGCGACTAGCCAGGGGAATATGTAACAAATGTTACAGGACTTCCTTACTTCAAATTTATCTCAACAGCAATGACACTATTAATGGCAAGCACAATTTACTGAGTAAGAAATCTACTATTCTACTCTGATGTAGACAGCAAGGCCTTAGAGCTGTTGATGTGAGACAGTACCGAGTAGGGACGGTTTTCTGCAGGCAGTTTACTATTCATTGTATTCTTGTACAGTTTTACAAATGACATTTCAGGCCTATCTGATTTAAGCCAGACAGACTGTGTGTATGTAATTTAATTATGTTAAACAATTCATCTGCTAAACTGTTAATTATAGCATTTGGTAATTTGACATTAATATTATCCCCCCCCCACCCCACCCCGCTTTTGTAAAGGGAGGACCATTGCGCCTAAGAAGGCTCAAGTGGTTGAGCAGCAGAAGCTGAAGAAGGTGAGGACCCGTTTAACAGAAAGCGTCAGTTTGTCTCAGCCCCAGTCTCTCAATTTGATAGAAGAATCTGCCAGCAAATACATCAATGAGCTTGTATGATTACTTACATTTAACATGAGCTCCTCCTCTGCTGTTCCCCGAAGGGTCTAGAGGTTGCGATCAGGAACAAGATTGAGCAGGAGGTGACCCAGAAGTTGAGCTTATCCCTCCACAAACCACTGAGTGTGGTTAAAGGGGCTGAACGTAAAGGCAACCCAGGAGCAGCCCGTCCAGAAACCAGCTCCAAATAGGACCTGATACACAGCTGCACACCTACAGAGCTGAGGCTGAATGTGCTAAACCTAAGGACCCACTTTGACCTGATATGACCCAGATTTAAGATGCACGCCAGCTCTCCTATTATTTTTAATTCCTGAATGTCTCAGTTGCCTTCAGGTATACGGAAATCGTCAGTCATTCTTGTACAGATGTCAATTAATAATTTTTCAGTTTACAAAAAATGATATAAAATAAGAGAACAGTCACTCTGGATATGATTTGCGCCCCTGGCTGCTTGCCATCGTGTTTGATGTGGTATTTGATTAAATACAGGGGCCTTACATGGTGAACACGTACTGGGTGTCTTTGTGTTCCTTGCTTAAGAAAACTGACTGCAAACGGATTGCAATCCTGGCTAATGAAGGTGTAAATGGTATCAGTTAACTGCATCACTTCCAATTCAGCATTGAGTATGCTGACATGTAAGGAGCATTGTCCATAATGATCATTGATCACTGGAAATTTGGCCATAAAAAAAGTCCAATGGAAAGCATTCAACTTAAATATAATTCTTCTGCCTGTCACTGCCAAAATTCCTTTCAGATATAAACTTTGTGGGTATAAATTCCAGCGATCACTGATCATTTAATCCACACGTTCTTCTTCCTTGTCGAGATATATATATATATATATATATATATATATATATATATATATATATATATATATATAATTGACCTGCAATGCACAGTTTGGTCAGAGATTTGGCTTTTTTATGCTAGTAGAGGCTAATGTAGAGCAGAGATGAGGAGCAAAGTCTGGTGAGCTCACTGCTTTGTAACGCCACACTCCCAGATTTCTTTTTTGTAGTACTTGTAGTGTTCAGCCCAAGCTAACTCAAGTGACTCATCAGCTCTCTCATGTATGTGTTAGAATTCAAATACCTGAACATAACCAGAGCATTGTGACTAGGCAGGTCTAATGTATGTTACCATGGGGATGCACCATTGCACCCCATTTTAAAGTAAGCCTCTACTAAGTGGAGCCGTTTAGCTGAGACATGCCACGGGTTGTTTGTCTTTAATAAACACCATCAGCTAAGGAAGTGGGTCTGAATTTTCTCTAGTCCAATTTAGCAACAGACCAGCAATGTGACAGCAGATATGAGGCTGAACACTGTATGAGCTGTTTTAATGTCAACATGCGCTCTGAAGCAGCCTGTCGGAACAAACTTCTATATGTTTATATACATATTGTGTGCATGTATAAAATACTGATGTCATTAAATACCACATACTGAGATCTCTGTTATGAGGTATTTATTTAAATCCTTTGTGGATGTAACACAGTTCAGAGGTAATACTAGTTACATCTACATTTCTAAAACTGTGTCAAACAAAAAAAACATGCATTACGCTTACAGTGCACAAGGACAGCACTACCAAATGGAAAACAATCACAAATCTAGCTAGTTGTTAAAATAACTAGTGAAATACAATCAACATGTCAAGCAATGCGGATTCATCAGCACTTATTTCTAAAGCAGGTCTTTGGTAGTAAACTGTGTGTGTTCAGAAAGCCTTAATGGCCTCCATGCAGTGAGCGGAGCGCAGGAACCTGGGGAAGGAGTCTTTGGCCATCAAACTGTAGATCCTCTGCTGTGCCATGGTGAATGTGTCGGCACACAGAGAGTCCATCACGCTCAACAGAGCCTCCCGGGTTTCAGCATCCAGGTTTACCTGAAGGGAAAACGGGTTATAAAAAGAAGCGCTTTCATTTAATTGTACTCGTTGCACGCAGAAATACAGGGGGGAAACTTTCGTACTTTTCACCAAATGCCATTCATCATTTTTGTTAACTGTTGACACACTCCCTTCAGTGTTCCCCTGTGTTCATCTTATATCACACTCTCCTCTCTAACCAACCTCCTGCGGGGCGTCAGGGTTGATAAACTGACTGTAGATGATGCCGGCCTTGGTCTTGGAGGGAGAAACCCTGTAGTCCTCACAGGCCAGCCAGAACCCGAGGTTCTCCTCACTGAACTCTGAATGCAGGAACCTGCGAAACGCCTGCAGACCACCTGAGACATGAACAAAAGAGAAAGAGAAGAACAAGCCAGGAGGAGGGAAACAAGGAAAAGCAAGTTACAAGCAACTCAGGCCACATCTCATGCTTACTCTGTGATACAGCTCTAATGGGCCATTAACTATTCAAAAGCTCAAACCTGAAAGCACTTTTTCCATGTGGCTTTGTCACGGAAAATTTCTGTAAAATGTACTGTAGGAAAATGAATTGAAAATGTCATCTGAAATATTGAAATGCACATTTTCAAACTACAATGACCACTTGCTTAAAGCGAAACTCCAGTGATTTACTCTTCAATTTCCTTTAAGCTGCGGGACTCACAAGAGACGCATTAGAAAAAGGTGAATATCAAAGCAGCAGAGGCAAAGATATCCTGACTTTTACAAGCTCCGATAATGCTGGATATACATTTACCTGCTAAATACCTATGTCTTTCAAAACTCCCCAGTGAGCAATGCATGCTGTCCTTTATAGATGTGTGGTCTCCTAGCACAAGCTAACCCTAATGATATCTTCAGGGTTATTTTCCACAGAAGAACCAATACAACTTTGAACATGACGAGTAGTACTTGGGGGTAGGTACTAAGGGGAATATTGTCAAGGCACTGGCAAACTAAGGATAGAATTTGTCCACATGAGTATCAATACACTGGTCATGGATTTATTTTTTAAATGTGGCTGTTTAACGTTTGAGCAACATTGTGCACACAATGACATTTAATGATAATAATGGTAAATATTAAAATGTTGTGTAACAGTAACAGGAGTAGAGAAGAGTTATCAAATCCGAGGACTGACTAAGCGTCAGTCATAGAGCAGTATCTAATGATACTTTGCTAACATTGGCTACGAAACCGACTGGTCATTCTAGACCAAATAAGACAGATTGTATTAAATTGATCAAGTATGTGTTTTATTGCATATTAAATTCAGTTTTTATTTGTAAGAAGAAGAATGCATTTCTTCTTTTTAAAGTCACATAGTGTCACTTCAATATTTGCTATAACATTTATTTTCCATAGTGAATCGTGGTTATTTTTATGACGTGTATTGAAATGCTAACCACAGTAATTTTCAGTCACTGTTATTGCCTTTAATCATTTCTCCTTGTAGAAGGTGACATTGCATTCCTGAGGATAAGTGTTGAACAGAGACATGTACAGACACATACAGCAAGACTAAAACTACCTGCTGTGCAAGATTAACACAGCATTTAATGTATTCTTTTTTTTTTACTATGCATGGAAGACATTTAGAAAAATGTGCCTGCAGTCATTTTGACTTGGAGCACAGGTGTTACTAAAAATAGCATTGACCGTGGCTCTGTCCCAGTAAGTCAGTGAGTCATCATGCACGTTACCACCACCCTGAAACTGAAGCTGCTAAATTCGTTAAATTCAGACATCATTAATTTTTTTGTTTACACTGTGTTTTTTCTACTGTGACATATCAAAATGTAAAAATACTTGATGCCTGTGTTGTTGAAACAAAGAGCTGACTTTGGAAGTGTTATAAAAAGAAATAAAGGGGAAAAAGCTTTCATACTTTTGTTGTTTAGAAGAGTTTCCAGGTCGTGAAGAGCTTTTCCATCCGAGAACCTGAGAAGAGAGACAGAAACAGCCAAAGTTCAGCTTCACTGTGATAACCGCACTATGAATAGATTTATTTGAAACATGGGTTTCAGTGGGTTTACTTGTGCTTGTGGTGCGTCTCAGCCAGATGGCCTAACTTCACCCGCATCTCCTTTGCCCTGACACACACATGCACAAGAAATCAAACACGTATACTTCCTAATACAAACTCTGCAATCAGGGAATCACTTATTCACATAGAAAACAAGAGAACCCAGTTGCATACTCACTTTTCCAGGCATGAGGAGGGCAGGGAGGAGAGGCCCTTACACATTGAGGTATGTCGTTTGAGGAAACCGGCAAAGGGAAAATTAACACTCTTTGACACAGTCAACAATTTTTTCTGAGTCTTCCAGACAGCCTCCCAAACTACAGTGTGCTGTTCTTATATAGTCTACCTGTTTGCTCTCTGATCTGTCAATCTACTCCCCTCGGGCCAGCAGGTGTAGAGACGGGTAGCTGAAAAGAGATGAAAACAGCTGAATGAGAGAGGTGGTGTACGTGCTCACAGGCCATATAGGCTTGTCAACATGAAATACAAAGCTCGTCAGCACATATGATAGGAAAATTAAGACAAGGGGACATCCAGTGTGTGTGTGTGTGTGTTTGGTCAGGGATCAGTAATTGTCTTAAAAGTCACTCATAAACAGAACCTAGTTAGCCTTAGGGTGTTTATCACAGGAGAATAACGTGATGAGGGAGGAGCAGGTGGGCTGGCAACATCACTCATCTCCGGAGAGCCAGAGTACAGCAGGATGGAGAAGTGAGTGTTAGATGTTGATTGACAAGGCTTTGGACAAAATAAGACATAACACCTGACAAGATCATTAACTGCAGTACCTCTGCAGTAACAATCACTATATTTTCTACTTCTCCTTTCCCTCTGCTTTTTTCCCTGTATTGTTCTGAATAGTTAGTTTTCTTAATCGGTTTAGTAATTATCTCATGTTGCCCTCTGCAGTCAGTTTTTATCTATATGCACTGAAAATTATGTTGTATCATATAAAACGGGCATGTTTTATGTGTTGTATGTAATGTTTAACTGAAAACTATATTTATATTTTACTCATAGATTCTGGATTTTTTTGGAGTAAAGAAGTAGATGTGCTTGAAAGAACTTTTTTTTGTTAAAAAAAACAGACTTATTTAAAGATGGGTATTTTTATATGTCTTTAATCATGTCTAGAGAGGATCATCATTTCGCAGTGAAAAGACTCTCAAGAAAAGGTGCTGCCTTCAACATGCAAAGTTTTAATCAGCAGAATATATATACATTTCTACTAATAATATTTAGTCTATCTTTACTGATGCATTTATACACAAGCAGCTTTTTAATCTCACAGCTGATGAGGTGGAACTCATTTTCACTACTTTGTATGCTTTTGACATTTTCTAATGCATCTTATGCGGGCTGGTGATGGTGCAGTGGATAATGGCTATTGGCAACCATAGACCTTTAGTTAAAAAGAACATTGACACACAACTCTACCCCTGAAGAAACAAAATATTTTGTGCTTGGTGGGCAAAACGGAAAAAAAGAAAAACTATGATGCATGTTGAATTGAAGTAACCAAGCTTGAGTTTGTACAGCAAGCTTTTAGTAGAAACAAACTCAAGGGAATACAGTAAAATATATATAAAAAAATGCTATGGCTGTTAAATTATTGTATCTATGTGAATCTTTTAATATAGATTGTTAGTTTGTGTCTGTAATGTTCTTTTGCTTTTCTTGTTTGTTTCTCCTTTTCTGATTGTATGTTCTGAAAAAAATAAAATAAACCCATAGACCCCAAACCATAGTCCTTCATACCCATAGACTGCGTTCATAGCGTGTCCCAGCATGCATGCAGCAGCAGTCCGTCCTCCACACTGAGGATCTGACTGAGTTTCTCTGTGGCTTCCTGCTTCCTCAACCAGAGTGGCAGTTAATCTTCGAGCAGCAGCTGAGCGACCAGTAGTGGGGGACACGCAGGGGCTGCGGAATCCAGAGGGAGCTTTATGTTTGGTGTCAAATGCCGTTTCGGGACGGACTCAGCTCCAGCAGGCCCACACTGAGCTCTGGTCCCGCCGGTTGCTCTTGAGTCCCGGATCCTCTGCAGTCTACCATGGGCGGCGGGTCGTTTTGGAGATAAACATAGAGCGTGAGTCGCAAAATGGTCTCTAGGTTTTATTATTAGACCTAACAGCGTCCAGAAGAGTGTGTGGATCACGCTGTCATCGTGAATGTATATTGAAGCTAACTTGCTCTTGTGGATCTACCTGCGTGAGACTGAGCTACAATGGTTTAGCTATGGCATTACCAATATATCGGTAACGTTAACCAATCATTTCCCCAGGCATCAGTTATTGCTCCACTCCATATAAATTCAACAGACCTTGATTAAAATTGATTAAGAGAGGGTGCGCACAGAAATAGAAATAATACAATGCAGAACAGTAATGTGCAAACTGCCCTTCAATTGCAATAGCACGGTGCTGCACCTCTGCCATATGTTGTAATACAACATAACAGCAACCCGCTGTATATTCAGTGTGACCAGCGAAGTATAATGTGACACCCTCTGACAGTCTAAATCAGCGGCATCCCACCGCCTTGGCTTATGACCCCTTTAAGAAAAGCAGTGTCTACTTGTGACCCCTTATCACCAATTGCAAAAGTCTACTGGTAGTGGTCTGCTCAGCCAGAAAGTGATGTTTTACCTTTGTTCTATTTGAATACTTTTCTCAACAAAGAATTAAACATTAAATAACATTGTGCATGTTTTATTCCTTATTTCTCTCCTCCTTCCTCTCTTAAAGGGCAACTCCACTGATTTTACACTTAAGTCTGTTTACAGGTCATGGGGAGTGCCACTGCATATCTGTGATAAAGCTAAAAGATATGTTACTGGCATAAACAGTAAACAGAAAAATATATATATATATTTCAACAAAAAGGTCACAGTGTACTTGGTCTGATTACCGGGCTAATTGGATTATAACATGAATTATAATCCCTGTCCAGCCTTGTCCGATCCTCATCTCTGCGTGAGGCCTGAGGCTATATTAGCCAATAGAAGCGTAACTCACTCAAATCTCTAACGAAGCTGTTGGCGGTCAAGTTGCATTATGGGTAATGTAGACGGCATGTTTTGACACTGCTGAATCAGTTTTAATTGTGAGTCTGACTGTTAAAGGGATTTCAGTGCTAAGTCGGTGTAGTTCTCTTTTAATGACCCCCCCCAGAATCATCTGTGACCTGTTGAGGGGTCCCCGATCCCCAGGTTGAGCACCACAGGTCTAACTAAATGTACATCACGTGTTTGCTTTTTTTTAAGTTCCTAAATTTGCTGTACAAGAAAGTATTTACGTCCTTGGTAGATGTAAGGACTGGTGTGTGTCAGGCTGTGGTGATTGAACTGATGCTCCTGTATCCAATCAGCTGACCCCGACTGGCACCAATTATGAGACCACAATGGACTTGGGCATGCTGCCAGGACAGTGAATCTGCTGGTCCGGACCAGGAGAGGGAGAAGCGCTGGGCTGAGCTGTTTGAACAGCTGGACCTCAACAAAGATGGACACATTGACATCCTTGAACTGCGGACAGGGCTGGCAGGCCGAGGACTTTCCAGAGGCTCCCTGGAGAGGGTAAGACATCAGGACACACACCTGATTCTTTACTGGGATACCACACAGTGGCATTTATGTGGGCTGTGGGTAGTACTTATATATCACATTAAATTTTAAGTTATTTAAACAACTTTCCAGACTCAATGTGGAGTGGATATTGATGCTGAACTTGCGTCAGATGAACAAGTTCAGCATCAGTCAGTCAATAAATTTTCTCTCTTAAAAACTGTGTAAATCAGCGTGCACATAGAGATAGAGGCCCACTTGACCAAGCAAGGAGGCGGTTTCCTAGCAGGTCCATTAGTTCTTGCTTAAATATTCAACTAGAATTGGTATGTTTGCAATCATTTGTTGTTGGTGACGGGGCCATTGTTTAAACCAATCCTATGGTTTAACCCGTTATACATCTGTGTGTGTGTGTGTGTGTGTGTGTGTGTGTGTGTGTGTGTGTTAGAGAAAGAGAGTGAGAGATACATATAGAGTGAGGTGTTTTAGGGGATTCCTTCTCTAATAATAAATCATTTGACCCAATGATCTTGCCTCTCCATAACCTCCAGTGAAGGCCTGTGAGATCCATTTTTTATTATGTGGAACTTCGTTTATCTGCCGCTGCTGTTTGTGCAACAGCAGAGGCCAAGAACACCAACAGCATAACATCTCCCCTCTGAGTCTGTCTTTGACTGTTTGTGTTAGCAAAAAACATTTGTGGGTCACCAAGAAGACTTTCTACCATGCTGCCCCTCTCTCTCTCTCTTTGCTGTGTGTGTGTGTGTGTGTGTGTGTGTGTGTGTGTTACTGATGTTGTGTGAACGTAAACATGTTTACACAGCCAAAATGTGAATCATCACAATGTACATCAGTAAGTTAAGTCTTTAAGGTTTAGGGTAAGGGTTGGGTTGTGTGTGTGCATGTAAAGGGCAGCATGCTTTCTATTTTAGAAAAAGGGGCAGGACTTTGAAAGATGAGAGTGGTAACCTTTCTCTTGGTCCTACACTTGATCTCTTCTCATGTATAGATCATTGTCCAGAGTGTTAACCTTTTATGTGTCTATGTACCATATCTTATTGGTTGCGTCAATATTGTAATTCGTATTGGAGCAAATTGCATGCCTGTTTTTACTCCACATTTATTTAATGTAGTTTTATAGTCTGGGCCCACTTTCCTAAACGTTCTGAAAAAATTTTAGTAATGGGACTGGATCATAGGTGGTACCTTTTTCAGAATAATAAATGAGATTCTAATCATGTAAAATACAGACTATATATCTTCAATATGCAATTAAAATACTACTGAATTTTTACACTGTATTTAATTACCAAAATCTTCTAAAGAATCTCTCATAAACAATTGCCACAATTGTCAATGAAATTTGTAATTGTTATATTTTTGTGTAACATTTGAATGCGTTGTGTATATATCAACAGACAAATAAATGAACACAAACTGTACTGTATTTCACATTTTTTTGTAGGTCAACTACACAACATGCAGTAACATTATCACTCCAACAGATGGCAAGCTAGAGAAATATTTAAAGACTACAAACCTGAAACGCAATTTTGAACTTGTGGTATTTAGCATGGGTCACCTCTGTTGCATTTGCACTCATAAACAAGGCAAACCTATGCTGTTGTATGTAATTAATCATAGACTGCCTTTACAATAATCCACCACCGTGACATGATGTCTGATGTTCGGGGTGTGGATAGGCTAAAATATATTTTTTTATTATTGGACCTGTGATTAATTTTTACAACCTACCTTCTGGCTAACAAACATTTTTGGTCCCTGACTAAATATCTGCCTAATGCCCATTTATTTTTCATTGCCCCAGCTCTCTGTGTTTTCAGATGGTGCAGGCTGGGGACACCAACCAGGATGGAGTGCTGGACTTTGAAGAGTTCACGCAGTATCTTCGCACCCATGAAAAACAGCTCAAAATCATGTTTAGTAACCTCGACAGAAACAATGATGGTCTGTATCAGCCCATAGTACAAAGCTAAAATAATAAATAATACTTGATGGCACTATTACTTCAAAATGTTCACACTGACATAACATTTTCTCCATGCTTTAATTTCATGACTCTTTCTTACTGTGTGTGGGATTGGTGGCTCTATGCAGGTCAGATAGATGCAGCAGAGATCCAGCACTCGCTGCACACCATCGGTGTAGACATCAGCCTCAAGGATGCCACCAGGATTTTGCAAAGGTCTGCTAACAGTATGTTGATATCTGATATCCCATCACATCACAAAGTGAAAAGATACACCTGGCCTGGATGTTAACAATTCTCAACAGTGAAAATTATGATTCTTGCCACCTGATAATCTTCCTTATGCACATTTCCAGTTCATCCCTTCTCAGATTAGAAACATCCTTTTAAATAATAAGTAATGTAAATTGAAGATCAAAGCCTTCACAACTTTCCTGCACCAAGGAGTGTTTCATTCTTACATTGCATCTTTAGAGCTCAATATTTGTCCTTTTGTTTCAAGTAGGTACTGCATTTCCTACTTTTTTTTGCACATTCAGTTTCCCTGATGAGCTAGACTGTGGTAAACCAAGAAGCTCATTGCCATTTCTAAACATGAGCAAATTACCGATCATACCCTCTGTAACTCAGTGGCTACATTAATGATTCTACTCTGTGTGAATTTCAGAACTCGTTTATGTGTTTGTCACTCAGAATGGACAAAGACGGCACCATGACCATTGACTGGAATGAGTGGCGAGACTACTTCCTGTTTAACCCTCTCACTAACATGGAGGACGTGGCACGCTACTGGAAGCGTTCACTGGTGAGGTCACACACACTTAAAGCTGGGGTAGGCAACGATGGACAAACTAGCAAGAGATGGGTAGTGTTTGAAAATCTCGCCCCCTCCCTCCAAAGCCACTCCCCTGAAACACATGTTCATGCGCAGTGAGTGCATGCAGGTAGACCGGTTGATTTATTGACTGCTGTCGGGATGTAAATAGAATTTCAACAAATATAACATTAAAAAAACAGAAATAATTTGCCTACCTCAGCTTTAAACACAGACACAAGGACAACATTGTGTATCTCTAAATAAAGACATGGTTAGGTTAAAGCATTAATTGCATAAAGCAGGGGGTGGGCAAACTATGGCCTGCGGGCCAGCTGTGGCCCACTCCCTCATTTTTAAATGGCCCGCAGTGAATATCTTAAAATAAACTAGAATATGGCTTGAGCTTATTTCTAAAAAAATGCACTGTTTGAACACTAGATGTTGATGATATTTTAAATAACTACCCTGTCATTGCACTTCTTAGT